CATGCCTTTCCCCCCCTTTTTTTTTGTAAGTGAGGAAATGAAATAAATAATAAATCCAAGGCCTTACATACACTATATGATAGAACCAAGACTAGAACTTAAGTTTAATTCCTGGTCAGTTCCTTTTTCAGTATATTTTACATAAACTGACATGTATAGGTGTTACAGCTGTTGATTTGGCTCCAACTCCTGGCGACCCTATGAATGATTCTGTCCACAATATCCTGCCTTCAACAGCCCTGCTCAGCTCCTGTAGACTCATGCCTATGGCTTCTTTTACACAGTCAATCCATATCACATTTGGTCTACCTCTTTTCCTGCTGCCTTCTATTTTCCCCAGCATTATTCTCTTTTCCAAAAACCCTGCCGTCTCATGATATGCCTGAAGTAGGACAGTTTCGGCTTCAGTTTTGTCCTTTTTGCTTCCAGAGATGTTTCGGGCTTAATTTACCCTAAGACCCATTGTTCGTCTTTCTGGCAGTCCAGGGTACCTGTAGAGATCTCTTTCAACAATATGTTTCAAATGAATTAATTTTTTCTGTATTCTAAGACTCATACAATTATTCTTTATTCCATACACATACCATATAAATAATTTATTAACAAGAGAAGTTAATTCACTCACTAACTTGTCATTATGCTAATATAGCACATGGCTACAAGTGTAGTTCTTGAAGTCGGATGGCCTCAATTTACATCTCAGTTCCATTAAAACTTGGGCAAGTTAGACTCTGAATGTCAATGAAAAAAATGGGGATAATAATGCTTACCTCATAGAATTTTGTCAAGATCAAATGGGATTATACTTCTGAGGCTCACATCATATCTGGTCAATATATATTAGCCATTATTATCCTTTCATCAAATTTTTAGTGAGATGGTTTCTGCAATATGCACTCTACTGATGTCTGAATTTCTTTCACATTGCTCCTTTCTTCTGTTCCCCAGTGATTTTGTTTCTCTCATGTTTGATATAAGATGGCACTAAACATTAAAGAGATGATCTGATATCTAGATCATAAATTATTATGTCATCTCTAAGCTTTATTGGCACATGTAGATAAGCTTTATTAAAATATTATTATTATCAGCCAAGAATTTGCCATGAAATATTAGGCTTGCTAAATTTTTCCTACATTTCTGGCCAAAAGCCTTGATATCTATGTTTCCAATATAGTTTTAGTGCATTTAATATATGCTAGAAGTTGTCAAGTGGGAACAAAGAAGAGAAACTCCTATTTTCAGGTGAAATCTTGTCACCCCAGATCACTTATTTTTGCTACCTTCTCTTTCCTGTTTGCCAAGGTCACTGACAATCCAGTGTATGGGCAATTGCTTGGCATTTGTAAATTTCTGAGAGTGATAAGGTCACTGGGAGAAATTGGTGCCTCTCTAAAGTATGCTTGTCATTGCTGTATGCATCGGAGATCCTAAAATGGTTGGGATAGTGCAATTCTCGGTGGGTGTTACTGTTTGTTTTGAATGGGTGTTTGTGAGAAAGTGTCTCACAGGCTGTGTGTTATGCAGTCATTCCCACAGGGAAATAAAACTTGGGCTTAAAAATTCAATATTTTGGAGATAATTACATATGGCAGGAGATTTTGTTGTGTTTTACATCCTTCTTTGGACTTTCCCTCTCTCTGGAGCAAAGGTAGGGTGTGGAAACTTGTGAAGAATGTCCAAGGAGTTTAGTCAACCAGCCCGATTTAGTGCTCATGTGATTGAAGAATGGTCGACCTCCCTCTAATTTTTCCCCCTAAAGGAAAATAACCAGTAGCCAGCCCAGTCTCATCACTCTTTTTCTGGAACTACTAGTTGAGATTTGGGTTTGTATTCTTGCTTTCATGTCACTCTCCAGACTGTGTTAAGTTTTCCTCAGTATAAGACATTGCTTCCAATTGGCACATACTATCTGGCCACAGCTTTTAAGGCCAGAGGTCGATCCCTGACCGAAAGTGAAGTAATGCAAAGTTGTCCTCCTCACGCCTAAGACAAAAAGATGAGCTGGACAGATTCGATTCCTTGCTTGATACTTTGAAATCGACCATCTGAGAATTGGAGACAAGTAGCTGTAGGCCCAAGCAGAGGATTTCACTTGAGAGGTTCATAAAGGCTTCTTGCAAGATGACAAAGAAGTGGACAGAGGGATTGAATGGCAGAGGACAGAAGGAAGTGGAGAAGCCTCAGATAGAGAGATGGAATTGAGGGAGTGGACCCAGTTTTGTCCTGAGACCTGATAATTCTTCTTCTTCCAGATTACAGTCCAGATGTACCCTTTCAATATCACTCCCATCCCTTCACTCCCTTTCCCTGGTGTTTACAGTGGTTAATTCTGGAACCAGACAGACTTTAAATGAATAATTTGGGGGTAATTCATTTGAATCTTGACCTCAATGTTCTTAACTGTAAAATAAGTACAGTTAAGATCATTATTTCAGATTTTATATTATTCTTAATGTACTTAAAGCTTTTTACTACCTCACCAACCTCCTTGATCACACTTTATTACTCAAAGAGAACACATAGCAAATATTCAACAAATTATCAATCAAGATGAAGTAACTGAAGTTGATTTTCATGCAGCATCCCTTAGTAAAGAAACAGCCACCTTTCATAGGTGCCTAGTTCACTACCTTTCTGGACAACTATTACCATCCCCTTATTGAACTAAAAACAGCCTACTCACTGTAGCCCAGCAATGAGTTGCTGTTGTTATCCTAAAAACTAATAGGTTGGACCTCATATTACTGGAAATACATTTTATGATCTACTTAGGACTGAAATTTCTTCCTAAGGTGACATTAAGTCTAGAAGACACACTTACAGATTATTGTGATTGCAAGAATCTTTCTCTTTATGCCATCCATTCTAAGGGCCTGTGTTTGTCATCTCTATGCATTGCATTAATATGTTATATGAAATTCATAACACAATACTCTTCTTTAAGGCAGCAAGTGAAGATAAAATGTGAATGTGTACATTCATGTATGTATATGGGGGGGTCACACACATGTACTGAGGGATTGGAGGATAGATTGTAACCTGTGAAAGAGGGTTAGCAGTATCCTTTGTGGATTCAAACAGTTGAGGATTCTGTTTTTGCCTACAAAGAGTTGATGAACATTTGGATATCTGAAAGAAAGAGATTAAGAATTTTTTAAAATTGATTTTTGCTTAGTTAGTGTTGGAATAAAGCCCCAACTACTCTGAGCCAAAGAGCAAAAAATCTAGATATGGAAGAGCTGGTCTGAATCCATCTGGCTCCAATATATTAAAGGTCAACAGCCTTTCACTTAATAATAACTGATCTTCTGTATAAATAGTATATACTGTAGTCCTTTCTAAGAGAAAAAAGGGAATAAATCAACATTAAGCAGTGTTGTACTGTTGCTGTATATAACCAAAGAATCTTTTGATATAGTGGGAAGATTAAGTGATAAAAATAATGACCTGAAAACAAAGCTCTTTGTCATTAATATGTAGTGTATAATTAGAGATGGTCTACAATGGTTGGTGGCACTCAAGTCACAGAGGGCATTCTTCTTACAGCCAATTAATGTAGCCAAGGATGGATCCCTTGATCACTGTCAATTTGGAAAGAGGGAATAGGTGTCTATAGTGTTAATAGCTAAGGGAAATTTTCTACTGCCCACATAAAAGGAAATAATTTTAACACTATGTAATAGATATAGATGAATATATTGATGATGACAATGCTTGCAGAAAAAAATGAGAAGGTGGAAAGGGTAAATAATCATCACAGATAATATTTACCTTCTTCCCATATCATGAAACATCAATATGGGACCTACCAAACTGGTCACATTTACATACTATGATCATTTGGAAATATGAATTCAAATTCAGTAGAATAATGTGCAACTGATTCAATAGCTAATTCAAATGTGGAAAAAAGAAAACTTTGCATCTTTGTGAAAACATTTCCCCTAGATCACATTACTTCTGATTAAACCAGAAAACAAAATAGCATTCAGAGTCCCCGTTTATATCTTCTCAATTGAGATCCAGTTCATTTAACCATGTGTCCTTTACACTGGAACTAAGACAGTTTATTCAATGACATTGAGAGGCTTGTTTTAGCAATTCAAGATAAGGTGATGTCAGGAGGGATAGGAAGCCTATGAATGTCACCTTGAGTATTTTATGGTTCTGTATTATGCATAATAAAGAGAAACCAGGGTGGTAACTTAGGCAGATGAGTGATTCCTAAACTTGGCTAACTATGAAACTCATCTGGAGGCACTTGCTAGAAATAAAGAATCTGCCCTTTCATGGTAGTTTGAGACAGGTGAATCTAACTAATACTTGAGAAAAGCTGTTGTAAATGATGTGTAGTTACTAAAGAAAAAATTAAATCTAAGTGACAGGCTGCATCCTCATGGCTACTGTGTCTTATGCTACGAGGCTAAGACTAGAAGATGGCATTTAACTTTGGATAATGGGTCAATAAATGAATTAGCATAGCACTATAGATCACAGAACTCCAAAGAATGTAGTACAATATAAGGGATAAAAGATCAATTGGAAGACAACCATAGAATTGATTGATAAACCTTGGGGGGAAGTCTAGACATCCAGCTATTTAATTAGAGCTGTAATAAAATTTATTGATATAGCTATTCCACTTAATGGAAATTTCCATGAAGCCTATATATAAAATGATTGATGTGCATGACTGTGGCAAATGTGAAACAAAATTGTCAAAGCAGGGTAGGTAGTGTCTCAGTAACGGCTGCTGACTTATAGCTATTGATCAGTCCTGGTTGATAGCCAATGGTATCATAAGTGAGAGAATAATCATCCTCTTTAATCAAGCAAACAAAAGAGTAATTTATTATATAATATCAAGCCAATATATTTTTCACAGTAGGATAAACACAATATAGAAAGTGAAGAGAATAACCCATAGTTCTAGGTAAATGACTAGTTGTGAAAATAATCAATGGATAATTAACTATGTCTATTAGAGTCTTCTGGGGCTACGTACTTGTGTTACATGCCAAGGACACAAAGACAAATGAGACATGGTCCCAGATCTCAAGTATGAATTACTTAGAAGGGTCTTCTGGTATCTAATCTAGACCTAAATTAACTTTTAAATGGGTCATAAGTCGTAGCATAAAAATAGAGGACATACAGTCCTTTAAGAGAATCCTTCTCTCTCAATGATATCAGTAGCCTTGTTATTTTCATACAAAGTTTTGTGCATTTATTGCTTTTAATAAATATTAAGGAATTACAAATTATAAAATTTGATTTGGTTAATGCTGGCCTTTTATAGATATAAACCTGCTTAGTAAAAAGTTATTTCAACATGAGTAATTTCTATATTCAATTGATCATACATATAACATAGTAAATGATTAAACATTATAGATATAAACCTGCTTAGTAAAAAGTTATTTCAAGATGAGTAATTTCTATATTCAATTGATCATACATACATATAACATAGTAAATGATTAAACAATTTGAAAAATCATCCCTCGCCCTGACCGGTTTGGCTCAGTGGATAGAGCGTCGGCCTGCAGACTCAAGGGTCCCAGGTTCGATTCCGGTCAAGGGCAGGAAAATATGTTTCTCAGTTTTGTGTAATTAGATATGCGTCTGCTGACGTTACTTGTATGCAGTATAATTTACAAATAGTATGAGGGATTATTTCTATGGCTACATCCCCATTTCCCTGTGAAAATGAAGTATAATAAGCATAATGTAAATTCAGCCTTGTAAAACATTGCACACCAGAAATACTTTGAAGAGATTGGTGGAAATCTTAGAAAGTATTTTCAAGATCAAATTAATAGTTACTGATTCTGTTCTGCTTACCTTTCTGGAAACAATAAGAGGATTTTTCTCCAAATTAAGTTTATATATATATCCAAAATGGTGACAATTTAAGCTAAATATCAAAGAACACTTTTGTCCATCCTGTGGAACTTATTTTAGGTAAACATCAGGCCTCTATATTCAGGTAAATGCCCACTTATTCTGGATAGACAAGTATGACAGATTTTCCAAGAGTGGATACACGGTACAATATACTGAACACAAGAACTAAGGGAAGGGAGCATAAGCTCTCTTTTTCAATCAATCATAATTCTTCAATCATAATTCTCATTGTACAATGCATGAGATATTCATATGACAATCAAGGATATACTAGATGGGCACAGAACTGTAGTAGAAAGCGTTGGCTGCTAGCATGATAGTGAAGGTGACTTTTAGTATTTTAGAATTTATTAATTTACATTTAAGAAAACATAAGATCAATATCCCATCAATTTTTAATGCACTTTTAACATGCACATTAAAATGAGGAAACATTTTTGATATACTTTCTACATGCACATTAAATTACAGCAGGAGCAAATAGATACATGTGTGACATCACTGGACTGAAGCACGTTTATCTCCTGTTCAACTAAGGCCTATGTATTTTCCTGAATCTTGAATAATGTGAAAGTTTAGGGCTCAGGATCATAACCACGTCTAATGATGAATTGAACCATAGAAAGCTTTAGCTGGCCTGCCACTGAAGGATTGGACCTAATTATTCTGAACTTCAGTCTGAAAAAGGCACACGATGCCTGATATCTTACTAATGCTCTCCTTACTAGACAGAGAAACATGGCAACTTGAGTATAATTTTTCAAATATTCAAGCTCCTTTCATGAGCTTCCTAGTGGAGGCTTTGGCTTTACGGAGCTTCTATAAATGTGATAATTTCTTGGTGACAGGAATCAATTTAGATAAAAAAACAAAAAAGACTGCTAAAGGAAACACCAGTATTTCTAATGTTAATGAATACAGAAAATATTCTCACACAGTAGACAATAAATTTGAATGTTTCATTTTCTAGCTGTTTAGAAAACTTGTCCTTTTATTCTCTTCCAGTAACATCTGGAGACATCAACAAAAAGGAATATATAGTCTTACAAAAAGAGTAAAATAATACTGAATACTCATTGTAACTTCTATGCCTGAGAGATATTTTAACACTTAAAACAGCTTACATGTTTTTATACAACTTTAAAGGTAAAGTGGCTTAATCATTAGAAAACATCAATAATGAACATATTAGGCAGTAAAAACAAAAACTAGGAAAAAGTCACTAGAGGAAATACAATATTCATTGGTAAAGTGACATTGTTACTAGTTACAAAGTTCTATAACATAACAAAGTAAGTTTTATAAAAATGTGTAAAAGTTTATGATAACATTTTGCAAAGGCCAAGCTGATGATCCATCGAGTAGGTTATGACCATGTTATTTTAAATAAGTGTTAGCGTTTTATGACATCCCTTCACATGTCTGCACGAACAAAAGAAGCAAATACTCCATCTTCCCGAGCCAAGAGGCTTTCTGGAGTGTCATATTCTAAAATATTTCCTCGCTTCATCACAATGACTAGGTCTGCCGTCAGAATAGTGTGAACCCGATGCTGTGAGTGAAAAGAGTACAGGTATTTGTTACAAATTTTTGGGCACAAGTGGCAGCAATGTATATGCATATTTCACCAATTATTCAGGGACATTTATTTACCTTGGGGTGAATTGTTAAAATACTGGCCAGTATGGCTTGTCTTGTATGGGATGTATTAAATTGATTGCAGCTAATATAGTAGTTTCACCCATTTTCATGGAAGGATAGTTTCTATAAGTAGGCTAATAAATGTTTTGTCAAATAATTAAATAAGAAGAGCCATCATGAACCAACTGAGTTATAGCTTAGACCAAAATTATCTCTTGTGTGGAATCAACTAATTCTGTGGGCTAACACACAATTGGAAGAACTCTGGAAGGTGGTCAATTCTGGGAAGACAATATGGAGAAATCCATTCTGGCAAGCAGTATTAGAATGGATTATTCAGGATTTCAGACTTGCCATCTCTTAGTCTTTTGAGATCACTGCCATCACTTGTTCTGTCTTTCCACATGGCACCCTTTGGCGAGAGGCTTACGTGTTAGTAATTAATAATAATAAAAGCTACCACTTATTGAGCATATATTACACATTCAGTGCTCCACACACATACTTGTTAATCATCAGAACATTCCTCAAGTATGGGTGTTATTGCTCTTTACTTTTTAGGGCAGACCATTGGAGTTCATAGAGATAAAGCAAAATCAGGCGATCACATAGATGTTAGCAGCAGAACCAGCATCAAAACCGGGTTTAATTTCAAAGTGTCAGATATTTCCAACTGGCCACCAAACTGCTTCCTAGGGAGTATCTGGTGGACTGTTCACCTGCCTTTGTTAGCATATGGTTAAGAGCACAGGCTCTGAAGGTAGAGTCGGCCTATATTTTGGTTTCACCACCTGTTAGTTGCACAATCTTGAGTAACAAATTTGATTTTTGTATGTCTCAAGTTTCCTATCTATGAAATGAATAATAGTACCTGACTCAGAGAATGGTGGTGAGGACCAAATGAGATAATCCACGCAAAAAAATTCAGCACTGTGTCTGACACATACAAGCAAAAAATAAATATCAGCAACTGCTATTTTTTATTTTTAGGGTTTACACGGGAAAAATCTCTGCAGTAAGCCTTTCCACTATTCTTGCTTAGTAAGTGCTATCCAATAGAAATATAATGTGGGCTACAAATGTGAGACCCACGTAATTTTAAATTTCTTGGAGCCACATTTTAAAGGCACAGATAAATAGGTAAAATATACTTTAATTATATACTTGAACCCAATATAGTCAAAATATTATTTTAACATGTAACCAATATGAAAATTATTAATGAGGTATCTTACATTCTTCTGTTAGTACTGTTTTTGAAATCCAGTGAATATTTCACACTTATAACAGCTCTCAATTTGAAATACTCATATTTCAGATGCTCAATAGCCACATGTGGCTAGGTGCTACCATGTTGGACCTGGATCATGCAGGTCAAAACATCAGCATGCTGATGGGAGTGCTAAACCTAGAAATACCATCTGTTTAGCTGCTACATGGGCTTCCAAAGTGCCTTCTCCTAACAATCCAAAGTCCAACCTAAAGCCGTCTCCAGGGGCAAAGGCCTATCTTCTGCCCTGGACCACTTAGATGGGGGAGTCTCAAGGTTCATACGTTCAGAAAAGCTAGGGGACTCACAGCTAGAGGGGAAAGAAAACACGTATATGGAGTGTGATAAAGATGGCTTAGAACATGCATCACTATTTTCAACATCCATAGACAAACCTATCATTCACTGAATATCGGTAGCTAATGATATAACTTAGGGAATATCACTAATTGGAAGATAATGTTTATTTATCTTTGTGAAGGAACAGAGACATTTTCATACTCACACATTTAGAAAAAAATACACTTAATACTGTTTAATATATGCTGTCCATTTTCCCTCCAAAAAAATTTAGTTCTTCAATAACCATATTACAGATGTTAAGGAAAGAATTTGGCTGTTTCTTCTTCTTTTTCTTCTTCTTCTTCTTCTTTTTTTTTTTAGAGTTTGACTTCTACATCCATAAATAGAATATTATAAACATTGCCTTGATATTCTAAAATAATGTTTATTTTTCTAATGAAAACATTAAAAAACTTGGCCAATGAAAATAAATATATCTGGTTTTTATTCTATTAATCCAAATAATTGTTTGCTTGACAAAGTGTGGTGTCCATTGCAATAGCATTGAAATTTTCAAAATGCTCCACAGAAATTAATCTAATTAAGAGTGAAGAATGAGTCACTTTCATAAATAATGCCATGCACTCTTTTGGTGCATGAGGGCTTCTTTATAAAAGCCAGAGAAAGTTATCTTAAGCTATTCATAATTTTCATTGGCAGATAACAAAATTAACAGAACAATTTTTAGCAGGGGAGGAAAAATAGTTACTTGTAATAGAGCTGAGGGTCATTCTACAAGGGGTCCCCCACAAGTGGGTCATGCTCTGTCTCCTATGAGTCTGTTAAGAGGAGTTGGTCCCACAGTAATTTGTTCTCCTCATAGTTTTCTGAGTGTCTAGTGGGGAGAACTCTAAGTATCCTGGTAGCCACCTCCACACTAGTGGTCTTGAAATGAAGAATGAGTGAAAGATATATAAGCACATAAAAAGAATTCAGTGAATGTAGCAGATCAGAAATGAAGTAAGAACATTTTTTTTTGGTGGAAAATACAAATGATGCTCAAGTAATCTTCCGGGTGTAGATTAAAAGGAACCATCTAACAATCCCATGCTTCATGCCAAATAGAGAAAACTTGCCTTTTGAGTAGGCAAGAGTCTGTTTTTCCCTCTTTATCTGCCCATTTAGAGAGAACAGGAAGTTATTTCTCCTTATTGCTCCACTGAGAAAATTATTGAAAATATTATGGAATCTTTTTTCAAGATAGCCAATTCTCTCACCATTGAATTGTTCACACTTTAGTGTGAATGAATTAACCAGGCAACTTCTTCTTCAGAGCAGGAGGAACCTTGAATTTACTGGGGAAGTGAGAGAAAATGTGTGTTTTTTTACTGAGGCCTTGTTTGAAGAA